CTATTTTTGTTTTTTGTGGGTAAATTGTACTTAGTATTTTTATATTTTATATGAAATCCTCGTTTGGTCGTACTTTTGATTGAGAGTTAATTCCCCTATATATATATATATATATATTATTTATTTATTTATTATTACCAATTGGTATTCTAACCCAACTTTGGGTGTCCGTTTAAAAAAATAAAAAATAATTGTAACGTGACTATTCTTTGTTAGTTTCTTAAACGATAAGTCATGACTAGATTAAATGTACAAGGGTGTTAAATAGGTAACAATCTACAATAGATAATATAAACCCAAAGTTAACTATTTGCAATAGATAATGAAATACATAGAACCAGCAAGCATGACAACAATGTACAATAGATAAGGATATGAGATAAACACCAAGGGTCTGTGGGGTAACGTTTGTGTTTTCAGTTTATATTTATAAAAATTTTATAAAATGATTTTTATTTATTTTTAGAAAAACATAAATTATAAACGCGTTTGGTAATTGATAAAATATTCAAAAAATTTTAAAAATATAAAAAAGAGTGAGAAATGGCAAGTGGTGGCAAGTGGCGGCGAAAGACGGTGGTAGAAAGTGGTGACGGTGGGTGGTGGGTGGATGGGTGGGTGACGGTGGAGGGTGGTGGGTGGTAGCGAGTGGGTGGTGGTAGTGGTGGTGGTTGGTGGTGGTGGCAGGTTGGTGGCGGATGGCGGATGGCGGGTGGTGGCGGATGGCGGATGGTGGGTGGTGGCGAGTGGGTGGTAGTGGCGGGTAGGTGGCGAGTGGGTGGTGGTGGCGGGTAGGTGGCGGGGATGGTGATGGTGATGGTGATGGTGGGTGGGTGATCGTGGCGGGTGGTGGGTGGTAGCGAGTGGGTAGTGGTGGTGGTAGTGGCGGGTGGTGGGTGGTGGTGGTAGGTGGGTGGCGGAAATTTGAGAATTATTTGTGTTAATATAATTCTATGAAGAGAGAGAAAAGAGAATAATCTGTATATTGAATCATCATAACGAAACACAAGTACAAGGTCGTTTATATGGTGTACAATAAGTCCTAAGTATTGAGGAAGGAATGGTTGGAATGGTAAATCCTAATCTAGGTAGAATATTAGAATAGTAATGATAATCTAGATATAACGCGTATACATTCACAATTTGCATTTGTTACTAGTTTTTGTGTGATTGCGGATTGGATCGGGTGAAAATATGATAGATCTAGGACTTAATCAAACGCTTCCTTTAATCATTTGATGGTGTTGCAAGCTGGTGGGTCTGTCCATTTTGGTTGCGGTAAAGGTGGCAGCTAGTGTTGGGTGCTAAAAAAAAAAAACTTAAAACTTAAAACGGAAAGACATTTTTTAAGTTTACATTTTTTGACCAAATTTATAAACTGAGACCACTGATTTATAAATCAAAAATTTATCAAATAAGTTTTTATTTGAATTTTTAAAATTTTTATAAATATAAACTGAAAACTTAAAACGTAAGTGTTATCAAACCGCACCTAAGCATTTGAGTTGCTAACTAACTCTATCTCACTTTCCTTGATTCCGATATACCCTAGCAATTCATACCTACTAAGCTAAGTAGAAGCAAAAGAGCATAGCTTTATAATTTAATCAAATAGCATTGCTATAGTCAATGGTTATATCTCATTCAATAAAATGTACAGAAACTATTATATTATGCTACTAAATCTTTAATTTCTCCCACATCTTCCAACTTCGTCACAACACCAAAAAGCACTTTACTTACTAGGAAATTTCAATACAAAAATACAATTTAAAATAATTGAATAGAAGTCTTCCAATTTATGTCAAGTCTAAGGGACTCTTTTGCCATGGCTGCCACGTTGACACTTGCACTATGATCTTCATTCACATTCCATTCAAATCATATTTCATTTGGGTACATATTTATTCGAATGAGGCAAATTAGCAGGGGGTTCACGCATACTTGTCTCTGTAGTGCTACCGTTATGTACTATAAACACAGTGCTCATGCCCCAAGTAAGATGTCGCTCGAAATGACAGTGCCAATACCATACACTGATACCCCACCACAAAAATGTTAGCATAGCTATTATTTTTGTAATATAAACAAATTTTTACTAAAATTTCATGTTTAAGTGACCTGTTTTACAATGGGTTCCAAAAATTAAGTCCTTTTTAGACTGGATGCACGGAAAAAAAAAAAGAAAAAAGGATCAAATTCGAACATACCTGGATTATTGGCTATGAATCTTAGAGTAACCCAGCCATTCCTAGGGATTGCAATGGTATTGACATGAAGTGGATCAACAGGATTATATCCTTTGGGGTCAATCTCAGGGTTGAAATTACCTCAAGTTTAAAATAATTAATCCGTACTTCAATTGTTTAACCAAATATCGGATTAATAATTTTATTGGACTATTAGTCCAATCCCAAGCTTATATCCACCCAAACAAACATGGCCTTAGAGTAAACCAGCCATTCCTAGGGATTGCAATGGTATTGACATGAAGTGGATCAACAGGATTATATCCTTTGGGGTCAATCTCAGGGTTGAAATTACCATATCCAAATCCAACCACGTAAAAGTTATATCCATGCAAATGCATTGGGTGAGTCTCTGATGTGTTAAGAATATTAGTCCCTTGGAATATTATCTCTACTGTTTCATTATAATTCAACATCTTCACCTTGGTCCCTTGCATTGATGCGGTATTTATCGTCAAATCTTCGTCGGTGAAGTAATAATAAGAAAATGGTTGGTTTGGAAAATCTGTTGTGTAAACCCCACTCAAGTTCCTGTATTTGTGTCCAAAATAAAGTTGAAAATAACGAAATAAACAAGTTAAAAAGAACATCTATCTACAGTATCTAACTCTTTCATGCTTTTATAAAATTTAGGGAAAAATCACTCTATTTCAAAAGGAAAATGATTGGTAGCTCAAAAAAAGTGGCCCGATTTTGGTTTGAATCGCAAAACGACATCGTTTTGCGATTCTTTTTTTTTTTTTCATCCTTTTCTTTCTCTTCCTTTTCTTTCTTTCTTTTCCTCTTCTTCTTCGTTGAACACAGGAGAAGAACAGAGGGGAAGAGAAGAAGAGAGGGAGAAAGAGAGGAAAGAAGGGCCCCTCATGTGCCTCCACCGCCGTCGATCGTCGCAGCATCTCCGATCGTTGCAACAGCTCTGATCGTCGCAGCCCCGCGCAATCCCGCCTCCGGCCCCGCCTCCTCCAGCCCGATTTTGATGGCCCCCTCCCCTCCAGTTCTCCTTCTTCCTCCTCCTCCTTCCTCCTTCTTCTTCTTCTCTTCTTATTCTTCTCCGAATTCGAGCCAAATTCGAGCCGCCGAATTTGAGCTACGAATCGGAGTCGATTTCAAAAATGTATTTACAAAATCATTAAAAAAATTATTATTTTAATTATTAATGTTGATAAAAAATTTCACTGATATATAATTATTTTTAGAGAGATACACTAATATGTAATTTCTCTTAAAATTTAACCTTAATTCCCTTCATTTGAAATACATCTATCCAAGTAGAACATGAAATTCTAAAACAAATACTTGAAGTTGCATTTTGATTTATGGATTCAAAACGAAATAGTTGAGACACTAATGTTGTGTTTGGTTGGAGGATTTGGAAAGGGATTTGGAAAGGGAAAGAGAAAAGATGTGTGAAACTATGTGAAATGTAGGTATATTTTATTCACAATTCACCTAATTTTTTCCTTTCTCTTTCCAAATCCATCCTCAAATCCCCCAACCAAACACAACATAAAGGAAAATAACTCAAATTTAAATATCATAGTGTATTAATAGATTTCACGTATTAATTTTTTATATGGATTTAAAATAACCTAAATGCAGTTATTTGAAATCATTCATGTTAAGGATTATATTCCTACAAAGATCAGAACAAAATAATTATCTTCTTATTCTACTCTCTTCTCAATTTATCTTTAATAACCTTTTCTCCTACAAATTTTTAATTTTTTTCCCCTTAGTGTTATTATATCACATTGTTTGCGACAAAAATGGATTGCTCAAAAAAAAAAAAAAAACAAAAAAAAGAATTATGAAATACTTCCCATACCAATAATAGGCGCTTAGAATGTCAGTGTTCAGATTCACGAAAGTTATGTTGTTCATGCTTGAGGCAAGCCTGATGTCCGAAGCTTCCCCATTACACGAACTATTAGGACATAGATTTCGATTCATAGAAACTGCGATAAACATACAGGTTGTAATGTTTTTTGGGACATCACTTGGATGATCATGGCTTGCTAAGCTCCTCAGGCGACTCAAAAAGTTGTCTACTGCGATGAAATCCCCAAAAAAAGGAAGATTGGTGGAAGGGAATATAGGGTCAGATGGAAAAGTCACTACAACAAAATTAAATATTTACGGCTTGCGATGCATGCTATAAAAACTCTTTCACGGCATGCACATAAATGCCGTTATATGACATGCCGTGAAAAGTGTAGCATCATTTACGGCATGCAGGTAAAGCTGTAAAAAGTAATAAATTAAACATTAATGATATACTTTGTATGTCGTATATAACTTTTTACAACATTTTTATCATGCCATAAATTATCATACTTTCCATGACCAAATTTTGTATGCCATAGAAGATTATTTTTAATATATTTATGGCATACTTTATATGCCATATATAGTATTTTATGACATTTTCTTGCATGTCATAAATCATCACTTTTCACGACATAATTTTGTATGCCGTAGAAGGTCATTTTTAATATATTTATGACATGCCTTGTATGCCGTATATAATCTTCTACGACATTTTCTTACATGCCATAAATCATTACACTTTTCACGGCATACTTTTGCATGCCGTAGAAAGTTATTTTTAATATAATATATATATAGGAACATGACCTTGTCTAACCGCATGTAGACAATAGCTTATAAAATGCAACCTGTTACAAACCTAGCAGAAGTAGCAACTATGAAGTAAGCAAAAAATCTAATATTCATACACCAAACAACCTGCATACTAACTTTTATCCTTAGCTTCTATCATATCAAGCTGATAACAACCTCAAACATACAAATCAAAAAAAGTATCCAAATCATAAGATTCACTAATCTCTAAAATACGACTTTAAACATCCAAAAAGTATAACTACAAATCATAAATCAATTAGTCCAATATTTAGTCCAAAAGAATGAATTGACTAGGCCATCCAACTGTACTTCCTATTGCATCTTGAAGATCATACATCTCACGAGTAGAACGAAACAACGGCACGTTGACTGTTACATGGTTCACCCATACTTTCCAACACAAAGCTCCAAGAGTTGCATGATGCACCTTTGACTTGGGATCCCTTGATGCAATTTGGCCTTCTGCAACCACCAAGTTTGACCCCTCCCAATACAGCAACTTGCATTTGACATATGCTAAGCTCGACACACCATTACTTTGATCCTACAAAAATTAAGAGTATATAAGCATACTTGGGATCCCTTGATGCAATTTGGCCTTCTGCAATACATTCATCCCATTTACGAAATATTAGTTCAACAAAGGAAATGAAAGTGTCAAAAAGCTTCAACGAGAACTCACTTACATGTGTCATCAATGTCAGAAAAGAAAATTTCAACCTGATAAATATATATTTTGAGGTGGTCACACTTATGAGTCTACTTAACCTGAAGAATATGACAAGGCTCAAAAAAAGACACATTTGAATGTCTGAAACTGTTACTATCATCAGGTGTCGGCTTAGAGCTAAACTGTTATTGCTGGACCACATTATAGCCCTAAAAATATGACAAGGCTCAAGAAAAGGATCTTAGGGCATACAAAGGCTATTCAACCACTACATAAACATTACCATCTGAGGCATAATTAAGACACATTTGAATGTCTGAAAAAATATGAATTGGATCACTTTAGGATTGGCTCATTAACAAATTAGATAAGTACATGTGTTGCACTGTAAAGATGATAACTAAAAAATTGATTAATTTACTTTCTTTGTGAGAATTTAAATTAGTTCATTTCTTTTAAACGTAGAATTACTGGCAAACAATGTGCAAAAAGTTGGGGACATTTGGGACATGGCTTTCCCTATTTAAGAGTGTGGTTTCTTCATCATTATGCATATCTAGCTCTTACAAGGTTTACATTATGTTATGCTTTTACAATTTGATGTGAGTAATCCTAGATCATATCAATTTCTTCAGTTACATCTCTGCCTAATTTTCCAACTTGCTTGTTCCGAGATCTAGGACTCCCAACTATCATGAATCTGTGTATGAAACAAAAGTGCAATGTAATATAGGTGTTTGACTTTTAAGAATTTCGTCATTTCTTTGTTATGTTTGGCCATATTTTCATGCAGATTGTGCGAAGCATGATCCTGAAGTGAGTGAAGACACAGAAAAGAACTTTGCAGAGCTTTTGTTCGAGGAGCTGAAGCTACGGGAAACTGAAGCTTTGCAAATCAACAATGCAGTTTATAATTTCATTTTTGCAAGATCTAATTTATACTACATAAACATACATAAAAACACAAGCATACATACAGTCATAAATATATTACATATGACGTGTGAAGAACACTCATTACACAGCTATGCAACCACAATTGATGTTACACAGCGGTAAAAAGGGTTTTTCAGGGCTGACTACTGACCATATGTGGCTGTAAAATTGGCAACAAGTGGTGACTTAGTAATGCAAGTGATTTTTTGAAAATTTTGATTAGTTCAGGAAAGACTACACTACAAGACTAGTAGTAAACTGCAAAATGGACTTCGAAGAAAGAAAAAAAGGCACTTCTAAAAACAGCATAACTTACCATATCTAAACCAGTTGGAAGGTTTGCAATTGAAGAACCACCACGTTTAGATAATTTCATAGCTTTAATGCTTTCAGTAACAGAACCAACTTCATTCACCTAAAAAACCATAAAAACACTTCATTAAGCATATAGCTACCACATAATTCCAATAATTAAAGACATGAAAAGTAGATAAAAATGTTTTGAAAATACTATTTTCACTCACTGAAGTTGAAAGGTTGTCATGAGGAGTAGATTGGAGTAGATTGGAGCTTCTTTGGGAGGGATTGGTACCCTACAATCAAAGATAAATATGCAAGTGATTTAAATATAAAATAACAAATTAAAGACAAACAAATTATGTGCCATGACATTATATTATCATGTTTAGCTTTTCCTCTTATATCATTTTGCTTTCTTTCTTTGATAAGCATGGCTCTTATCTCATCGAGTTGTTGTTCTAAGTCCAGCACCTTGCTTTCAAGTTTTCTCACGTGCTCATTTTGGTATACTTGTGCATCAACCTTAGATGGTAATGCCCCAAATCCCAGCCCTCGTACACTCCCACGATGCTCGGGACCAAAAGTATGAAAAAACGCATCATCTTTTATAGATTTTGGACCCTCATCAGTAGAAGCCTTATGAAGTTCTTGAACATTTTTCTAAAAATATAAAGCATGTCTTAATAAATTGATGTGAATGCAAATTATAATACCAAAAAATAAAAATAAAAAATGAAGTAATATTGGTACCACAGTTGCATCAAGCACTTCATTCATGGATTTTCCTTCCTTCCTCGTATGCCCTTTAATCCAAACATCAACTCTTGATATGGATGATGGTGCTCGACTTTCTCTTCTCTAGAAAATAAAATAGAAAATGAAAATCAACATGATTAAAACAATCTCAAAGTAACCATACTTCATACCCAATTTACAAAATTACTTGAATCACTCTTAAATTTACCATTTCATCCTCTAATTAATCGTGCATAACCTTTATGACTCATGGTGTGAAAGAGGGTTTGCTTTTTTCTCATTGCCCTAAATCTTTTACTTTTTGCCTACATATACAAAAGAAGAATGTCATAATTTATATGATTAATAATTCATAATTGAATCACTATGAGAAAATTTGTTGGTCTAATTAGTTCATAAAAACTAGAAAATTTCTATGAGGAAACTTACCTTAAATTCTTTGGAAGTTCGTTGTTTCACAAATGCTTTCCATTCAACCATTTCTACATTATCAGGTTTGATGAGGACAATATTGTGTGCTAGCTTAGCACTATTACCAAGAGGTTTTATTTTTCGTGATAGTTCAGATTTGTGTGAGCGCCATAATCTGCCAAACTTTTGCATGATGTGTTTCCTATTGCAATAATGTATTTTGAATCTAAGCTGCATTTGCATTTAAACAAAAATTTAGTGATTAGGAAAAACACTTGAGTTGATAGTATAATAATGAATTAAATAAATATATGTTACCTTCACACAAGCCCATAGCTTGTCTTTAACCTCTTCTGGAATATCAGGACATCTCTCTATGGTTATTGGCACCATCTCTCGTGCCAAGATCCCTTCTAAAGTCGATAGTTTAACTGACTCAGGTCCCACAGGCTGATTCCTTTCATTGAAGTCAATTTCATCACACTTTTGTTTTCCTTTGTCATGCATCTTTAACTTTGATGCCCCCCCTAGTTTTCTTCTTTGGTACTTGAGTGGAGTCTACAACTCCTTCCATATCATGTGATTCAACATGTGGAGAAGTAGAACATTCATCTAAAATTTTGAATGATGCACTTCTTCTTTCATCCATTGTCGCAGCAATTATAGCTTCACGCTCCTTTCTAATTCTTTTCTCAGCTTTTTTTGAACTCTGTGCAATACATAAGGAAAAATAAGAAATAATGTGGACAACAATTGATTATAAATTCAATTTTATGTTAAATGAGAAATAAAATACCTCTCCAATCATCTTGCTAGTTGACAATTTCAAGATTCAACTGTTAATAAGAACATAGGCATTCACAATAACGATTAGATCAACAACAATAAATTAGTTCAACAGGATGGGGCCGGGTGGGCCAAGTTTTGGTTAATTTTGAACTTTTGGAATAATGGTATTAATAAAAATGCAATATGATTTGATATATTATGGATAATGTTTTATAAATGATAGTTAAAGACAATGATAAATAAATAAGGTAAAATGAATGTTTGGTGTAATAATTTAGTGTTTTAGTCTTACTATATTTACTATATAAATAAATAAGGTAAAATGAATGTTTGTTCTTTATCTTTTGCATTCTCGGTTACCTTTTCAGACTTGATATCTGCATCATCAGTCTTTCCCTCTACAGCACCTTCCTATATAAATGAAATTAAAATTAAATCACCAAATATAAAAATATAGACACAAATAAATTGACAATTATATATTAAGTAACATATCCTCTCAAATGCCAAAATACTACCTTTTCCTTTAATGGCCTCAAAAGCATATATACAAAGAAGATATTAATCTCTTCCATTTTTTTGTAAGAATTTTTCTTTTTTTTTTTCCTGTGGTTTTTTGCGGCCTTTAATTTCAATTTATTTTTCTGAAAAATTGCACCAGCAATGCTTTTTTGGTGCCTCTTTTTTCTTTTCCTTTTCCAACAGTGAATCAACCAGACCCTTGGCACATAAAACTTGTTTTTTGGCATTTAAACACTCACAACACACAACAATGGAGATAATCTGCAAGACAACAGGGCAGGTGATAGAAAGGCTACATCCTGATTATCCAAAACAGAAGTTGCCAAAACATGCAAACAAAATAATAATCAATATCAGCCACCTCTGAACTTTGATTTCTATTTGTGAACAAAAGCTAAATACAAAATCTAAACACAATGTTTGTGAACCAAAAATGGGAATTTTTTCTCTTGGGCAGATGGTTCAACCTAAGAATATAAATGTATCAGCTCATGGTAATACCATTTCATTTATCAAAAATATAAGATCTAATTATATACTCATGTGTCTCATTCTCATTTCCCTAAATAGCATACTGAAAGCTTAGTAGACATTAAAAATTAAAACATTACGAGAAATTATAAGAGACACATTTCCTAATGATAAGCATAAGACAATCCGTCCACAGGTCACAAACGGTATGGCCAATATAAAATTTAAAAAAACCATAAATTTCAAATCAAACATCAATACATACAACTTTACAAGCCAAACAATAATTCTTTATAAGCCAAACAATAAATTCTTTATAATATTGAAAAAATAAATGCATCTAAAGGTGCATCTAAAGGTGCAGATGGCATATAGTCAAGCCCAATAAGCATTCAGTTATATGAAAATCAAATGTTCCTACTTCTCATTAATCATGCAACACTTCCACACCCTCACAATCCATCCTCGCGTAGTGCTCATCTTCATCATTAGTATTTGCACCAAGTCTAGATGCATCTAAAGGTGCAGATGGCATATAGGCATCTTCATCATACATATCCAAATCATGAAAGCCTCTTGAAGGTGCTTTAAGTACAACTTCCCAACTAGATGTATCATTATCCCTCAAATAGAACACTTGTTTTGCATGTGATGCTAGAATGAATGGATCTCTCTCAAATGGATTTCGTCCTTGTTGGATGTTGACCAAAGTAAATCCATCTTCAACTTTGACATTGTTTCCAGTAGTTGCCCAGTCACATTTAAATAGAGGAACTTGAAATTTGTAGTAATCCAACAAAATTATGTCTCTGATAACCCCATAGAAACAGATTTTTTCAATAACTTGTGCAATGTCTTTTTTACTAGATCGACAAATAGTTTCTGTTTCAATGGAAACACCACTATTTTGTGTGGACCTTTGGACATCACTTGTATGAAAGCGATGCCCATTAATGACATAGCCCAAATAAGACATTACATGTTTTCTTGGGCCAGTTGCAAGCCATTTCAATCTATCTGAAACCTCATTACCACATGATTCAATCTTTGCTTTCAACCACTGAGAAAAAGTGTCCATTTGTCTAGAATGTAGTAGAGCGGCATCCCTCAAGAAATGTCTGTCCAAAAGCTTAAGCTCCTCTGCATGCATTCTAATAAGGAAGGCAAATTGTGAGATAAATATATCATATAAACACTCAATTAGTAATAGATGTTTATGTTATCATACTTACTCTAAATATGGTTGGACTTCAGAACTGTTTATCAACACACAACAATGAGCAATTTGTAACATATCATCAGGTATCATGATTGAATTCCCCAACGTAATCGGACGTCCTTCTAGTATTGTTTCATTTTCAAATTCTTCATTGTGGTTATGTCGAGCACCTATTTCAGTTGCTTGCTTCATGTACCCACTACAAAATTGCATGCACTCTTCAGCTATATAGCATTCCGCTATGCATCCCTCAGGTCTTGCACGATTCCTAACATATCCCTTAAGTATCTTCATATATCTAGACCATAATATAATTAATATTCAGGTTAATAGCTTTTTTGACAAATACATCAATAGATATATACATAATAAAAAGTGATATACACCTCACATTTCAAATGAGTACATCCAACGAAATTGCACTGGTCCGCATATGTGAGCTTCTCGTCCTAGATGGATTGTCAAGTGAACCATAATATCAAAAAATGATGGAGGGAAGAACCTTTCCAACATACATAAAGTCTCAGCAACTTCTTCTTCGAGTAGTTCTAATTTATTCCTATCAATCACTCTTTGACATATTTGATTGAAAAAAGTGCACAATCGAAATATTGCATTCCTTGGTCCCTCTGGTAAAAGTCCTCTCAATGCTACTGACAACAACTGTTGCATCAAGACGTGACAATCATGTGACTTGAGGCCTATCAACAAAAGATCTGCTTCTCGACTTTTGAAAGTGTATGTGATGCCGGTGGCAAATAAAAATGAGTCCCTTTGTTCTCCACATGCAATTTTTGTCTAATGCCCATTTCTTCCAAATCTTTACGAGCTTTAAGGCCATTCTTTGATTTCCCCTTCACATTCAATAGTGTGCCAATGATACTTTCGCAAACATTCTTCTCAATGTGCATTACATCCAAGTTATGACGCAAAAGTAATGCTTGTAACATCAATCAAATATTCATTCTATAAAAAATAAGAATAACAAATTCAACTAATTTTGAAAATAGGAATTCTACTTTCTTTAGACTTACATCCCAATATGGTAAATTGAAAAATATGGACTTTTTCTTCCATGGTTGAACACAAACTGGCTCTTTTTCTTTGATGGTCTGGGACTTTTTCCTTTTTCTCTCCTTTGTTGCTTTTCCCCAAATATTTTCAATGTCTTTAACTACACTGAAAACATCAGAGCTATTTAATGGTTTAGGCTTCCCTCGAAGTTCTTGCTTTCCATCAATATAGCGATCCCGGGTTTACCCTTATTGTACAGTGATCCGGACATGGGTCCGTAGATGTTGGTAGTTGTTCTTATCTTGTTTACATCCTTTTTACTTCGTATTTGAGTTATAGGATGTGTTGGGCAGGTTTGTTACAGGTTGGTTGAGTTTAGAAACCAAAACTAGTTGCCCAGATTTTGGCCTGTCCGCTCGAGCGGGGGTGTTGGCGCTCGAGCGGGGAATACACCCATCCAGTATTTCTTGTGCAGTGTTGTACGCTCGAGCGTGGGTTTGGCCGCTCGAGCGGGGTTGTGTGAGTTACGCTCGAGCGTAGAGTTGGGAGCTCGAGCGGAGGCCTGGTTCTGTAAAAGTGCTGGGAGAGTGCATTCTGCGCTCGAGCGGGAGTTTGTGCGCTCGAGCGGAGGTCTGTGAGTGGACGCTCGAGCGGGGTGTTTTACGCTCGAGCGGGAGACTGGGTTTAAGTCCCGAAATTTGTGACTTTTCAAATCACTTTTTACTTTCTCTTCTCTCTCTTACTATCAAAATTTATACGTTGTTGAGCCTCTCACTCTAGAACTCTACCTTCTCTCTAGGTTTTGATCTAGTAGGAGTGAT